TATTATTAAAATTTTAGGTAGGCTACCAGACTGGCCCGAGACCATTTGCCCGCCCAGGCAAAAAACGAATTAAAAATTCTAAAATAAAATTTTAAAAATAGTTTTTATTTTTATTCTAGGTTATTGGATCAGACGTCCGAGACCCCCCTGACCGTCCGGGATGTCCGATCGGACATCTGGTTGGACGTCGGACCGGACAGGATATGTCCGACCTAGCGCAAAAAAAAAAATAATAATAAAATAAAATATTTTTTTGAAAAAAATCATGTGGCTTCCACCTTGCATTAGGTGTATGCCACCAAATTTTTGGATCATTTGGGCCGGTAGAATAAATAATAAAAATCTTCAAAGATTTTAATCCCCACCTATACCCCTCCTATCCCCACCAAAACCCATCGTACACCCCCCACCCCACCCCAAATACCACCCTATCACCAAATGCTCAAAAAAATGTGAAAATTTTTGTGGGGGGTAGGACATGCGCAACACTGTGATTTTTTTTTTTTTTTTTTTTTTTAGTGCCAAAAAGTCGTCATTCAGAAATCCGGACAACGGGGGTACCTGACGTTCGGGGAGACGTTCAGGGGAGCCGTCCGGTCTCTGGAGCATTGGTAACCTAGTTCTTATTTTACATTTGGTAAGTAATTTCAATATGACCTTAAAACAAAAAATGTTCATATTGTTTTTCTTCATAACATTTTTTTTTTTAATTTTTTTTTGTATTTTTTTTTTCTTTTCTTTTTTGGTTGGGACCTTCCATGGTCCTTGCACGGTCCGGCCGCCCGGGAAAATAGGGTGACCCGGGCGACCCAACTGGTAACCTAAATTTTTGCAAAATTTAAGCCTTATTTTCGAGCCAACTGGTCAGGGTGGAAAATGTCGCGCGAAGGCTTGCACCCATATCCTTGCCCAACTGCCAGTTGGTGCAAAGACAGGCTCGGAACAGACGAAAAAAGCGGACGTTAGGGCCGATAGAAGTGACACGTCTGATTATCAAAGTTCGAGGGTTAATATTAGTAGGCAATCGAGGAAAAATCAGGGTTCAACTCGCACACCATAATTTCTCCTGATGCGTTTAGCAAAAATACCTAAAGGAAATCATTTAGGCACTCAGTCGAATGTTATATTCTCTCCAATTCGGGTGGCCAATTGCTTTTGGCCGCTCGATATCGGGTAGGCCACTGGTACTACCGCACAGTAGCAGGCACATGCGCACTGCGGCAAGCGCTATCGTGGCGCCGACTGACCGGACCCCCCTTGTAGCATTGTTTTTATTACTAGGGTCTGAGTTTTCAAGACAACAACCCAAAATTGACTATTTTTTTGTGCCTTGATATTATCCAGCGCTGCCCTGTTTTTGAGTTAATTTGAGTATGATTGAGTATGCCGTGAGCATGACTCACATGTTATTGTCTGTAAGCTAAGCTGGCTGATGCTGCCAGTTACTCTTGTTTTTTTGGGTGATGGCGTCGAGGTATTATCATCGGGCTAACCAACCCATGTAAATTCAATGTTCTGTTTTATCTAACACCAGGTGACCTTTTCCGAGTCAGGCCAGGGTGACCTTTATTGCCTTCAGGGAACCCCCAGTGAGGAACACTGACTAGGGGACAACCGGTGGCAAAAGGACCGAGCATCATTTGAGTGGGCAGTCACTGTGCCTCCCTGATTACCCCTCCCCCTATGAACATCAGCATAGACTGCTTTTTAATGCCAATTGGGGGGACCAACGGGCTATCTCCACGCGGCAGGCGCCAAGCATGTACAAAAAGGTACATGAGGCCAATAGGGATTGAACCCAAAACCTCCTGAATGCCACTTGTGTGCCTTACCAAATGAGCTAGGCCACTGGAAAGATACTCTTGTTACCTTTACAGTGAAATTGAATTGTTTCGTCTGAAAAAGAAGGGGATAATTTGTCAAATACCCTTATAAGTTGAGATATATGCCAAAATGGCCCAAAACTTGAAAGATGAGGGTAGAGCGGAATGTCGTTTTGGGCCTAATTCTTTGCGTTTTGCCCTTGTCAAGCACGTATGCAAATTTGTAATTTGGACCGCATTGTTGGGGCTTGGGCCTGCACCATGTCTTACCCAGTCTGCTCTCCATACTTGGTGGGCAACTTTGCGCAATGCTAATGCCCGTTGGGGGGGCAGTTTGCCTCCGTGATTCAAACTTTCAAACTCGTTCGAAGTCTCTGCCGCTCTCTCACTCTGTGTTCGGCAACTTCATTCATCATCCTCCTTGGTAAGGTTCCCCATCTCCAGCTCTTATGCCACGTCACTGTCTCTGAAATCCTCGTGCTCGCCACTCCCGCGAACTCTTCTCTCTCTCTCTCTCTCTCTCTCTCTCTCTCTCTCTCTCTCTCTCTCTCTCTCTCTCTCTCTCTCTCTCTCTCTCTCTCTCTCTCTCTNCTCTCTCTCTCTCTCTCTCTCTCTCTCTCTCTCTCTCTCTCTCTCTCTCTCTCTCTCTCTCTCTCTCTCTCTCTCTCTCTCTCTCTCTCCACGTGGTTAACATGGAACCCCAGTTTCAGTTCTTGACTAACAGGTCCTAAACTGAAATTTGGTTCAAGGTTGTTGTGTACCAAATTTGGTCTCATTTGGAGCATTGGAATTTCCTCTGCCACAATTTCTGAAATTTCTCAAGATTTCTGAAACTGAATCTTGGCGAAATTTGCATGAAAGTGCACTTTTGCCTTGCTGTTTTATAGTTTTTTTTTTTTTTTTCGTTTTTTTTTTTTTGCAGTTAGTAACTATGTTATCTACTATGGCTTGGTGGCAAGTTTGGTTAAAATGACCCTTGGATTTTGTTATAAATGGCATGATAAGTGGTCTGAAAATTAGGGCCTCCGTTAACTGCCTCTCGCTCACTCGCTATCATGCTATCCCACCATAACGCTTCCCTTCTCTCTCTCTCTCTCTCTCTCGAGGAGGGGACAAAACGCAAAGATGACCTGGGCCGCTAGGTGTCAAACGAAAACACATAGGGCCAAGTTGGCAAGTACCGGGACATTGTGCAAAGATGGACCGTACCCGGTGGGGGTATTTTGCAAAGATGTCAGGTCCAACCGAGGCCTCGCGAACCTTTTTTGTGTCGAAGGGGTATTCCGCTCAACCCACATGTTGTAGGGGCATTTTGGCATATATCTCGACTTATAGGGGTATTTCGCAACCTAACCTAAAAAAGAAGAAGAAAAACAAAGAGTATGAAATGAATCTGGCAAAAATGCGTCCAGATTCTCGTAGTGGTATGTAGAAGAATGTGATGGCGTCAAGCTACACTCGGAGAAGCCCCGCGCGGGACTAATGGTAATCTCGGGACATGATGGGTCCGGCCCGCGTTTTCACTCTGAGAAGCTTGCACCGCCCCGCGCGGGACTAATCTCGGGACATGCTGCGTCGTCCGGCGCGCGTTTTCACGTGTGTGGCGCACGCATTCGGCCTGCCCATGGTCTTTATTTATTGGGTGTTGAAATGTGATTCTTTGAACACGCTTGCAAGCGCACTCCGCCTGTCGTGCTGGCCGGGCAAGTCGATTCTGCCACCGCCCATGACTTTGGATCTGGCCTGTCGTCGCACAATGATTCTGTTATGGATTGAATGAAGACCGAGGAACTACAACTTCGGTTTTCTGGGATGTCCATTTTTCACCCAACACATATGACTTTGGGAACTTTCCCTGCTGTCGTCCTCAGTGCTGAGGGCATACTCACAGTCGCACGCTCCTCAAAGTATTTGACTCCAATTACAGCCAGACCTGGATGCATCTGACCGCAATCACGTCCGCAGCGCAGTCGGAAAAGCTCGGCGGGGGGGGGGGGATATTCACATTATGACTCTTTAGACGAATTGTCGTCTGATACATCCAAGGCGTTCAGTAATCGTGTCAGATGCATCAGGAAAGGTCGCAGTGCGATAACATCGCTGATTCTTGTGGCTACACTGACTCCTTTGTGCCTTCCTCGCAAGGGCTCTAGGACTTCCCCTGGAAGGGTTGACAAGAAGTTTGAGCTGTTGTCTTTGGGGGCATGCGTCAAATTTGGAATAGCACAGAGAAGATTAGCATGGACGCTGCGCAAGGCATGCGTCAAATTTGGAATAGCACACAGAAGATTAGCATGGACGCTGTGATATTACGTGAAAAAAGGGAAGAGAAGACAGGAGAGGGGACACTGAAGAGGAAAAGAAGAGAGAGAGAGGAAAGGAAAACCGGCAAGGATAGGAAACATGGGGTTGAGCTGATGTCTTCTCGGGTGGATAACTAGGGCTACTTACACTAGGACTTTTTCGACTCAGCTCTGGACGTCATTGCGGTCAGATGCGTCCTTGTCCGGCCGTAATTGCGGTCAGATACGTCCTCAGAAAGTCCTACAAGTGTGAGAATGCCCTTAGCGTTTAGTGTCTATACTGTGAGTATGCCCTTAGCGTTTAGTGTCTATAAGAGGGGAAGGACGGAGGGCATAGCAGGAGAAAGCTGGAACCTGGAAGCGTAGGACATTGACTGTGAAAGAAGGTCAAGGGCCTCGCCGCAGCACTTACCAACTGCACAAAAGACAAAAAATTACGGCGGTGCATCTTTCCATGTTCTAGCGGAAGATTCATTCTCATTTTGCGCATTTGGTGAGTGGTGCGGCGAGGCCTAAATGCTCTGATACATGCATAAAAGAGAGCCAAATCACGGCATACCTACAGTAGCCACGAGCACTTTCGTAAATATAAATATATCGGACTGCAATTACAGCTAGACCTGGATGAATCTCACCTTAATCACGTCCAGAGCTTAGTAGAAAAGGTTTTAGTGTGAGTATGCCCTCCCATGGATGGAGTGCGCGAGGTGTGAAATATAAATCTTGTCGAGGGAACTAGGCTAAATGAGGAGATGAGGAGATAGAGAGAGCCAGGCGGTAGGGTGGAAAAGGAGAGGGAGGGCATAGTAGACTGGCGTGAAGGAGAGATTCAGGCAGCCCGTGAAGAACGCTTTGTAGCGGAGAAGTCTACGGAGGCAGAACAAAGGATCATGCGCCTGCTGAGTCTTCATGTCTCCCTCTTTTCATCAATACAGGTAACGTCACGAAATTCACAGTCTCTCCTCTTTTGTTCAACTTTTCCGATTGCCCAGCAAGCAGTACACGGTCATCTAGTTCCTCCCTGTATGTCCCTGTCCCCCACCCGGGGAGAGAGAGAGAGAGAGAGAGAGAGAGAGAGAGAGAGAGAGAGAGAGAGAGAGAGAGAGACAGAGAGAGACAGAGAGAGACAGAGAGAGACAGAGAGAGACAGAGACAGAGAGAGAGACAGAGAGAGAGACAGAGAGAGAG